TGATTATTCTTTTTGCATTACAGTGTGCAACTTTGAATTAATTTAAAGCAAGAACATCTGATTTTCACTTGGTGAGATAACAGCCAGACAGTCTTGCATGCAAAGCCTATTACTAAGTTGAAGCCATTTATTACTTAATGTCAATTTAATGAACTAGACTAGTGTCAGTCTGAAACAGAACCTGAATTTCTCTTCTAAGTTGTGAGCCTTAGGGCAATGTGTGTATAGAACAACATGCAATTTTCTCATTCTCTTCCTGCTTAGAGACTCCGCCTTCCACAAGTGGGGAGCCACTGTAGTTAAGGATTCAAACTGTTTGCATTTGGTGAAAAATGTGTGTAATTTTAAAGTGTAGACATCTGCTCTTATTTAATCTGCCCTTAAACCCTGTCAGTTATTTTTGTCACATGTTGTAAACCTGTAATTCACATCATCAGTGATGTTGTCTGCTGTTTGTTTCTCACCTATGAGCAGCCTAGCACAGTATTACAGAATCAATTTCTTGTATAGAAGCAGCATCACATCAAACATACTGATGGATTTTCAGTCTTTGAATTGTACAGAAAGAAACAATTTTTTTTCCTGATTTTGCCTTTAGAATCCTTTGACTCACATTCTTGATTGCTGTCAGTTGCTAGTTTATGATTAGGATATTTAAAAATACTGTCTCCATATGCTTTGGTAATAAAGATGTTCTGGAAAGTGTTTTTGCTCCACAAATTAAATTTTTAAGTCCAGAAATATTCTCCTTTGAAATGTGCTGCCCATTGGTTTTCTGAATCTGTTAGAGAGAAGGTTGATAAAAATTGTCCTAACACAACATGAAAGAGAATGAGAAACTTTTTCTTTCCAGCAATAATCCAAGTGGTTTGTTATCAGACTATTTTAGTCTGCATCCCTTGATTTAGCAGGCCCAGAATTCTACCTGTTTCCAGTTTTATTTGATTGTTCGTACACACTGAGTCAGTATGCCCATTTCAGAGTGTTATAATTGGTAGTGTGGATGCCAGTGGGGGTTTACTGTTATAATTAATGTGTTTTTGGTGACTTTGTCATTGCAGAGAGGAGTCTAGAGGAGGAGAAAACAGTCAAGATAATGTGATTTGATAAGCTGTCTGCTTTAGTTTCCTTTCCTTGGTTTTATATGGGAAATTTTAGATATACTTGTCTGCGTTGAAAAGTTCATTGGTTCTCCATTAGCTAAATTGGTGTCCGATTATCAACTTCTTCAGCTTTACTTTCTTCTCTATGAATTCTCTATGAATTTTCCATTGCTGTCTTCTGTTCAATTACTAAATGATTTCTGAAGAGTCTAATTAGTATTTCCCCTCTCTAATTGAAGACCTTAGTTACTGAATTTAAGCTCTTGCCAGAAAACCCTCTGAGTCTTGGAGGCAGAGTGACTTTTTACCCAGGCAGCAGGCAGCGCAGGAAATAGAGCAGTGGCAGTGGTCCCTGCAGGGGGGAGCAGCAGAGAACACCAAATTTCATGGAAATGGTGACGAAGGGCAAAGCAGGTGTGGGCAGGGAAGCAGGACCACAGAGTTGAAAAGCCCAAGGAGGGGAGGAGGGTCAAGCTGACCCTCTGAGTGAGCTCCTGATCCTTCCAAGAAACCCAAAGCAAATAGGCACTCCCTTGTGTTGTAGTTGCCTGCTTTTGTGTGCTAAAGTCCCTCCCACAGCCCAATTTCCCAGGCATTTTTTCCCATACTTACGTGCATCTGCCCCACTGCCGAGTGGTGGGGGATCACTCACAGCCCAATCCTGGAAGTTTCCTCTGCCCTGATCAGCTGCCAGGAGAAGCCTCCCTGGGGAACAGGGTTGCCAGCACATGTACAGCCCCTATAGGAATCCTTCAGCTCAGGTATAATGTATGTTGAGGCATAAATAAAAATCAGATTGGTCCCCTTCACCCATCCCTGCCTGTGGCAGAAGGATTGGAACAAGTTGACTGTTAACTCCTTTCCAACCCAAGCTTTCCATTATTTCCATGATTATCAACGAAATAGATAATTTCTGATATAAAGGAACTTTTTATATTTCTATAAATTATTTAATATTTTATTTATTATATAAATATAATTTTATATTTATAATTATATACATAATGTTATAATTTCATACTATTTATATTCGTAAAACTTGTTGCAAATTGTGATCTAATATTAAATTGGATTATGGCTTGTGTCTCCTCAAAACTGAAAATTTAGAATTATTCACGTTACTTTTAATGACAAGGGAAGATTAAATGAGAATCCACTTAAGTCTATTATTTTTGGGTTTTTTGTTGGTTTTTTTTTACATTTACATCCATTTATGTCTACTGCATATTCAAGTTGTGTTTCAACACAGTTTCCAATTGGATAACTGTATATGGATGTACTGTAAGATGGTTAAAAAGGCAGTATTTGCTTTGATTTGAGCTCATTAAGCCAGCACATCATCATCTGGCTTTCATCAGATTCTTGCCAGTACTTAACATTTGTAAGGCTGCCAGAGGAGCTCCATTCACACTTTGAGTGATAAATGCTGTCATGGAAATAGAGGAAATAATGTCACTTTTGAAAGAGCAATACTTTAATTAGATTAGGACTGTGGGACTACCTCTTCTAATGCAGCATCAGCAGGGTGCTGCTGAAAGCCATCCACATGGTGAAGGTGTGCACAGAGTAATTATTCTTCCCATTACATTGTTTGTGTGTGCACACCCTTCTCATCTCTCTTTCCAGACAGTCCTGTTTAAATTCTGGATCACCAGACTTGAGGGGAAAGACATACTCCAACCCTTGCACGATTGTGATGTGCCTAGGGGAGAGTGTGATTTGAAGAGCCCCTTCGCAGTCTTCTGTGAAAGCATTGTCTTCACCATGTTTGCAAAACCCTTTTTCCCTTGATCTCCTGGCAGCTCTTGACCTTCTGTATGCTCCATTCCCATTGCTGTTACACAGATTTAGTGAATGACTTTTTCTGCTGGTGCAATCATCCAGAACTGACTGTTGTTCCAGATGTGGGAATACAAGATTCGTTATAAAATCTCCACCTAAGTCTTAGTTCCAAAGTGGAAAATGCATAAGAACAATGTTCCTGCCTGTGATACCACATTCAGGTGCAGTGGGAGAAAAAATGGACTAATTTGAATTAGTTCTGAACCTAGCATTTACCAGTCCTTCAAGGCTGTGCTTATTGAAATATTTTGTTCTAAATATTATAAAAGGATGAATAGGTTATTTTTCTGATTCATTTGTGAATGAAGACCTAATTTTAAGTTCTCAGATGCAAGCAATCAAATTACAGGGGAAAAAATAAGAAGGTGAAAGATGAGAAAACAAATGGCAATTAAATGTTTTGACAGACTTTACCACTTCTATGGCAACAGAGTGAAGAGTGTTCCTTTTGGGGTAGAAAAAGGAACTCTGAAAGAACATGGATCTGCACGTTTTCCCTGTATATAGGGAGGGCATGCATTCAGACAGTTGAATGGAAGACTTTTAGATTAAACTGTACATAGAGCAAGCTTGCTCATACTGTAATTAGAACAGAAGAAAATAATGGCATGGAAGTCTACCAGTAACGCTGAACTTCTCAAGGTAATGGAAAAAAAAAAATCAAGGCTAAACTGAGGAATTAGACTCAATACTGATTAGAGACTCCCTAAAATAGCACATGGAATTCAGTATAAATAAATGCAATGAGACATATGGAGGAGCAATCCTCTACAACAATCCACTGTTAGCATTTGGCGGTCATAATATATTCTTAAAAAATACTAAGCCTCAATGCCTAGTTGATACCAAAGAGCAGAGTGTTACTTATTAATAAGGAAAGCACCAAGAATAAAAGAGAATTACCATCTTGCATTGATTCAGGCCTGGAATATTTTGAATTTCTTCACTGTCATCTCTATTTTGTGCTACTGCAGAGATACAAATAAATATGCATACATGCATACACACCCCAAGACAGAAATTACTGTTATGGTTGTCTGTTGTAAGGTGAAAAATAATCTTCCCCTTTGCTTTAAGTGTCTCCCTTTTGTTTTTTAATTCAATGTTTCCAGCCTATCATAAAGTGCAAATTTAATGTATCTGTGCTTAAGATACTATATTTTCAATAAACTTACTGCAAAGTTTTCACTAAATATCACCAACAAGCAGGGATTGATCTGATTAAGTATGCAAGGGAAAAATAAGAGCAAAAGAAGTTTTCACTTCCATTTCTACTCTTATCATCACTGACATTCTAAAATAGAAATTGCCTTTTAAAGTTCTTTTGTTTTCTTATCTTGGCTTCTCTGGAGCTTTAACTGGTTGTTGTGAATATGTAAGATTTGGTCATCTCAGGTTTGTAAGGCAGCCTCTGCAGCCAAGTGAAAACACTGCAAATATGAAACTTTGGAAAGTACAAAATTTGTAAAATCTTTGGACAATATACCTTTGGTTCCTGCTGGTGTGACACTGAAATAAAATTTTTGGAAGAAATCTTTTGCAATACAGACCAAGACAAAGATGCTAGCTGCTATTTCTTCCAGTGAATCATTTGAGGTAAATAGATTTAAAATAGGAAGTGGGATTTGGGATACAAGTTGGAGAAATCAAGAAATACAGGTCAGAAGATGATGTGGAAAAGGAGACCTGCAAAAGGCTGTCTGCCTCTTCACATAGAAAGAGATACTGAATAAATAGGAGCAACTCACTTAAGTAGTTACTAATTTTTTTCTCTGAACTGTACTGGAGAAACATCAGGGGCTAACACAGAAACACAAGGAATGCTGTAAAATTTGGTGTCATCCTAATTTTGAAAGATTTTTGTTTATAAAAAAAAGTAAGTATTCCTATTAACAGAAGAAAATTAGTGCATTATCAAAAGTTTCCAAAAGTTGAATGGGCAGCCTAGAAATTAAAATTTTCTATGTAATTATTGGAATAATGTATAAAGTAAGTGGGTTTCAAAATTTAGATGTGGTAATATGTTATCTTGAATCATTCTTTTATATTTTGCAGAATGAAGAGAAGGCACCAGTCAGTTTTCCATCACTTCTTAGCCATATGACTTCTCTTTTCTTAAATCATCCTGTAATTCCAATGACAACAAATGCAGATTCAGGTGTCCCAGAGCTGATAAATACTTTTTCTCCACTGATGTCATCCATGCCTTGTGACATGCATATTGTCAATCTGAGAACAATCCAAGCAAAGGTAAGGTCAAACCACTGTTTTTTATGAGCAAACATGTGATAAAGCTTATTAATATAGTCAAATAATTTATTCTTGTAAAGTACCTTGTGGGCAGCTTTATATGATAAACTGCAATGTGATTACAAGCTTTCGGTAATTCCACAAGAGCTGGAGACTTGTGTCTGTTTGAGTGACATGAAATGAAGGGATTGTTTTCTTCACAAGGTATTAATATGCATAGTGCAGGATTCTATCTCTGGAGGAGGTATATTTCAATAAATTCCCAAAATTTAAGAGAGAACCATTCATATACCTCAGCCTTTTCTGTATTAGAAGAATTCAATTTAAGGCCATTAGAGTTTCTTCTGGGTATGTTTTTAAGAAAGAGTATAGTTTTAACCCAAATTTTATTGGTAAAATGGTTTTAAGCTTAATTACAAGACCTAATTTAGTTATTCTAACAGGATCTCATGATTGGTTCCTGTGAAAACATTCTCTGTTAGGCAAACCAAAACTAAATCAAAACAAACAAAACCCAGACATCTAACCACCACCAAAAAACCAAACCAACAAACAAAATACCAACAAAAAAGTCAAACAAAAAAAAGGCTCTTCTGTACTGAGTGTTGAAAAACACTTTCCTTCAGAGGAAACAAAGGTATGTAACCACCAGAGTTTAATTTTCCCTTTGATTAACTGAAGGACTGGCACTAATTTTACATTCTTTTCATGCCAACTGTTCTATAAACTATTTTCAGTTTTTCAGCTCCTTTTAAAATGTGATTATGTTAGCTTTATGTTGTACTGCAGTGCTATTCACCAATGCTGCTACCACAGTGAAATCCCTGTTTAATTCTGCCATACTTAGATACAAACGATTTATCCCTTTTCCTCTAGAGTCTCCATGATGGCTGATCTTGTCTGTATTAACATCAGATTATATTCTGTTTAATCTGTTCTTCATTCTGTCTTAATCTGTATTTTAAAACTTCAACAATATTTGCTTTCTCATGCTTTCTCTGTAAGTAGTTCAATCTTGTGTTAGCTCCTTCAGCTGTGACTGGTTGCTTATTTTGAATTTCAAAGTGGAAAATCTCTTGATTTTGTAGGTGTTGTGCCTTTGAAAAGTTAGGAAGAAGCCTGATACTAAATTAAATCTTCATGTGAAGTGAATATTTCATACTTCACTGTGTATATTTTCATTTACATCAACCAGCTCAGCATCACAGGTTTACTTCAACACACCAAATTCAGGGGCAGACTCTTCATGAACATATTCCTTGTCTCTTCTTGAGGTGTAAATCCATCCTCTTGTTTGTATGATCTGGGGATGAAAGCTGTGAAAAGACAGGCTTGCTCAGTGTCTGCTTTTTTAATTCAACGTTACTACTTGTAAGTGAATTTTCTGATTTTATCTGGGCTGTTCTGGCCCCACTGTTCCAACTGATATAGGACTGTTTGAGGCTATGATCTCTTCCCTGTCCACAGCTGTGTGTTTCATTGATTGCTGATTGACAGCTCTTGAGTTTGTAGCATTAATATGTCCACTTCAAAGTGAAAGCTTACAGCAGTCAGAGGATAGGAAAACTGTCATTATAGATGCAGAATGTTCTTCCCCACAGCAAAACTGGTGCTATGCCTTGTAAATAATTCTGTAAATCTCTTCTCATTTTCTGCATCCTTTCTCTAGCTTTCAAGAATTTGAATGACAAGTGACATAATGCTGGCTAATTGACACAATGAATTTTTCTTCCAGTGATATACGCCTCACCATTGCTTAAACTGTTGAAGCTGATTTTCTATAATCCATTACAATTTCAGATTAGAGGGTACCAAATTTAAAAAAAAAGAAAAAGTTAATATTTAAAGTAGAAATCAGAAAGAATATTGTTATTGTTGTAAGATATCTCATTTTGTCATGGAAGCGTCCAATTCATTGGGATTACAACGTTTAAAGATCTTTTTTCTTAATAGAACTACAGGTTTTGAGAAATCAGAAACACATTTTACCTGATGTAAATAAACTGGGACTCAAGATCTAGAACAAAGTAGATTTGTCCCTTTATACTAACAGAAATGACATAAATTTGCCATATTGCAAAAACCTTGCAGTGTGTGTCTATTAACTTACAGTAGTTAAATTTTAAAAAAAGTTAAAAAAATTAAAAATTTAAAAGAGTTTAAACATTTTTTTCTTGCTCATCAAAATTTTAGCAGGATTGCCCTGGGATGCTGGTTATGAGAAAGTCTAACAATTTTCTTATAAGGCCACATTTTAATTCTCAGAGATCAAAATAAAATCAAACTTTGTCAGCTCTTCTAAGAAAGCTAGTTAGTGTGTTTGGGGATTTTTTTCTTGAAAAACAGTGCAGTAAAGTTTTACAAGGTTAAGAATGTTGCTATTTGTTGAGAATTGAGGAGTTTGTTACAGGTTTTCATGAAGTTAGCTTGGTCATGTTTAGAAGATGTAGGTAAGTTCATCCTTGCTCAGACATTCATTAACCTTAAATGTACTTAATCTAATTTACCTAGAGATGATACAAGAACAGGTAAGTTAAAGTGGATGTGGAGGCTGTGACAACGTAATCTGTCTTTCAGCTGCTTTGATAATGAGTTAGAACAGATTTATTTTTTGCACAGGGTTGCTATGTGCATGGTAGAAGGTGGAGTACTAAATCATAGATATTTATACTGACCAAAGCACTTTTACTCAGAATGACATTAATTGTTTGTTACCTTTTTGTTTTAAAACTTTTGAATCTTAATTAAGATAATATTTAATTCTAAAAAATTGGGAGATGAAATATTCATGCCATCATTTGAAATGCATGCATGCATTTTTTATGCAGATTACTAAAAGATAATTTAAGTGAATTAGAGGAAGTGTTGATACCCATTACTGGCTTGTCATTTCTATCATTAACTTACCCCACAGGAAGTCAGGCTTTTTCAGTATGAATTTTAATGTTTCACTAATCTGATGTTTAGGCAGACGGTATTATTTTGTGTGCATAAAAATATCTACTTTTGAGTGCAACACTGTCACATCAGTGACAATGAAAACCAAGTCAGGTGTTTCATAGTACGAGGGGGAAAATATCACAGCTATTACCTTACTTCATGTGAAAGTGGTACCACTGTTCCAGTGAACTTCTTTTGCCATCAGTGTTTATGTATACTGGAAACTTCTTTCATATGCTGAATGTAGGCACTATTCATAAATTAAAGAGTTGATTTTTGGTGGTTATAATCTATTGTTCACAGAATCTTTTCAAACTGAGTTTTATACGTGATTTGTAAACTATGCAAAGTTTCTAACATTCAGTTTTTTGCTAAAAAAGTATCTCATTTCAACTCCAAATACTACTGAGTAAATTTTTTACTATTTTAAATTAGCAACTTAAACCCACAAAGCTTATATTTTTATTATTGTATGAACTTTATACTATGAATTTGTTGTACTCTGATTCTTTGTCATGCTAGGTTTCAAAAAAGCTGGTACAAGCTGATCTACATCTCCTTTATGGAAAGAAATTAGCATGCAAAATCTGTTAGATGAAGACCTCTTGTTTGGTACACCTTCAGGAGCTAATGCATCACAGAGTGCCTAATGCTTGCTGGCATTGCTTTCTCCAAGCAATAGATACATCCTGCAGCACCAAAATGAACCTAACTCATGGCAGATGCTTTTGTGAAAAAGCACCAGTGTAAGAGCAAGTAAACCAGAAACAAGCAAGAGAAAAATAGCCTGAAGAACTAGCATGGCTTCGGATAGAACCACCCTTTTTGTGCTCTTATTAGATATATATAATAAAATTAAGAGCTGAAGAATGTAAAACAACAATAAAAAAAGAAATAATGTAATTCGTCGTAGTAAATAAGTGGCTACAGTGATTGTAGGGGTGCAGCCAGAAGAAAGATATTGAGGGGCTGGAGCATGTCCAGGGGAGGCCACTGGATCTGAAGAGGGTGTGGAGCACAAATCCAGTGAGGAACAGCTTACTCTTTAATATCTGTTGAGGCTCAAAAGCACTGAATATCTTAGAAATAAACATAACATTTATTTCATATATGTATTTCAGTGTACATTTTTCTGTATACCTTAAGCTGAGATCAGTTCTGCTACATGAAAGTTTGTTCAGCATAATCCCATTGAATAAGTAAAACTGCATACAGTAGTTAGCATATGATTTCTAGTTTGTTTTCTGTTTTGCCATATAATTTTTGTGGGAAGCCATTTAATACAGGTATGATAGCTACACTTCAGTCCTGACTCTGTACATGTGTATCTGTTGACCTTTAAATTCAATGACTTATGTTTATATTCTGTAGTACATTGCATGTTTCAACTCTTTACCATTTAGTTCTTTCTTTGTTTAGCTTCATAAAATTTGAAAAGAACCATGACAGTTCAATCGAGGCTGAACCTTTTTTAAGGCGTAAATGTAACATCTGCTATATGATAATATTTTTCATGTTATGAAATGTCTTCCTGACTGATACTTTGTGAGTAATCTTCTGTAGTGTTTGTTTGTAGGTAGATACCAAACCATCTGATGAAGCTGCTCTGATTCTTCACAGAAAGGGATTTGATTGTAGATTTTCAAACAGAGGCATGGGTCTTCTCTGTTCCACTACTCAGGGAAAGGTATGGTTATTAATCTATAGGAACTTTTAAATAAAATTTTGAAATAGGTTTGGGATTTTCTTTGGGGGGAAGAGTAAATATAACGTTGTTTAAAACAAGAAGATTTCAAATCCAAATATTTCTAGTACTTTTTGAATATTCTAATTAAATTACATTGAAATATAGCAAGTAAATACTGTCTAAAAAGGTCTAAATTATGGTACAGTATTTAATTATGATATTTAAAAATATTCAAAATGGCATGAGAATTTCTTTGCTGGTTCCTGCAAGGAGCTCTGCAATTTTAAGGTATTTACTGCTTTTTCTAAATGTAGGTTTTTGTTTTTTTTTTTCCCCTCCAGATAAAGGTGCATAAACTCTTTAGCAAATTCAGAGTGGAAAGTCTTACACCCACATCATTATCTTTGATGCATTCACCTCCAGATGCCAGAAATATAAGTGAAATAAATATGAGTTCTATGGAGATAAATACGTTCCGGATTCGGCTGAGATGAAATTCTGCTTTAATACTGAGATAGAGAAGAGTCTGCAAATGTATCTCCTCTGAGTTTCCTGTGCAATAAGAGGCACATTAATGTTATTCCAGCTTCTGGATACTGTGAGAAGAAGATGCATTCTATAATTTTTTTTTTTTTTTTTTTACCAACACAATGAAAAGCCATGTTGCAAGCAACTTTTTTTTTTCTGGTCAGGTTTTTTTCCCCATAAAATAGCAACATCATGATCAGTTAATACAACAAGTGAAGAAATTTCTATGGATGTTAACCTCTCAACAGATTAAATCTCAGGTTAAATGCTAATTAATGATGTTTCTGGTATTTTAATTTTCTTAAATAGGGGATTGGATTTTAAACAGCCTTCTTTTCCTGATTCTTGATTAATTTATGTACAAATAACTCAGTGTAGAAAGTCCTGATGCAGCTTGGAAATAAAATGGAATAAAATGCTCCTGTGTACTAGCTAATGTCCAAATATTTGCAATCATTTATATAAATGATAATAATCTCAATTTATTCCACAATTAATTTCAATTTATTCAATACAAAGGGGATTATTAATTGTGGTAAAATGAAAGCCTGCAGTACTTGTGATAAGTGATGGTAGATTTTAATACTTCTACCATTCACCTGAGTTATGTAAATAGAAAAACATGAATCTACAAAGTAATTTTGCAATGGAAATGTTTAATAAAACTCCCATTTTGTTACTTGACACACTGGGATATGTGCAATTATTCCATTACCATGATGAGAAATGTCCATAATTGTCATGAATACAAGATTTTTTATAAAACTCATTTAGATACCAGTGTTCTCTGAAATGAGTTTTCTATTTCAAGATTACCACATCAAAATAAATGTGCCTTATTTTTTGATATGTCTTGTTACAATTTTGGTGTCTATGTTAATGTTTTTGGGGAAAAGGTAGTTTATATAATATTTAAGCTGTGTATCTCCTATTGGACAATGTTGGCCACACTGATCTATGTACTCCTGCACCAAGTTTGTGCTATCTTATTCTGAACATTTTGACTAATTGAATGTATTAATATGATGTCATGACATGAAACACCAACAAAAAAAGAATTCCTGTAGAAGCTAAATTCAACTGCTTTCAAGAAAATTGCAGCTTGATGCAGAGAGTTGATAGTAAGCAAGATATAGTTTGCAAACCCATCAAGAAATGTGCTTGCATGTCACAGACTGTAGTGACCTGTTAATTCCAAATCATGTGCCTATATTTTAAACAACATTTTACAAACTTGCAACCTCACTTACATTGCCAGTGTTCATGTTACTGAAGAATGGAGACTTTGCTTTTTCCCATAATAATTCATATTTAGTATCTAAGCCATCCAAGTGTGAAAAGTATTTCCCTAAGTAGAGCTGCTGTTTACAGTTACTATATATAAACATTCACTTGAGTATGATCCCATTTTATAGCCTTCATTTATTTTCATAGCTTGTTCTTCTATCTCTTGCTTATGCTTTACTTTTCCATACCTTGTTGCTTATCCTTAATAGTAATGCATGAAAAGTCCTCATAACTGGTAAAAAGATGTGCTAACTCTTAATATTGCTTCCTGTATTTAATTTCATCACTGTTGTTCAACAATTATATCAAAAATCAAAGTCTATCAAATTATTTCATGTAGCTACAGGCTATCTGAAAAGAAAATGAAAGTCAGACTTTGATTTTATGTATTGTCAGAGGTTGGATCTCTGTTGAGATTGTGTAGATTTTCTTAATTCAATCTACTGTGTGTTTTGTAATAATGGGAATACTTTAGTAGGATCTGGTGCAAGTTACATCAAGAATATAGGAACCACTAACCACAAATGGAAGAATCAGATAGATCCAATAAGTGGATGTTTTCATGCAATAAACATGTACTGTAACTTTTCTTAGAAAGAATATTTGAAAATGCTGGGTTTTGTTGGAACTCAAAGCTTAGTAGACTTGCCAGCAGAAATTTCTCATAACATTTATTTTCTTGCTTCTTCAGGATGAAAATGTTTAAGAGTCTCTTATGTGTTCTGTGCAAGAAAACATTCAAAATACTATTTCAGTTTTGCTAGGCAGAAAAGGAAAATTTTGATGCAATAAAATTTTAAAGTATTTTGCCTCTTGGAATTGCTTTGAAAAATTCTTCATATACTTTTCTTTACTTTTATCATCAGCTGTACAATCATGATGCCTGAATCTTCCTTAACCAGCAGATGTAATCCTTGTCCTTTATTTTGCTTTTTTATTTTCATTTTTTGGTTTTTTTTTTTTTGTGTAATGACAGCTTTCAATTTCCTAAATTCCTTAACTAAATCAAAACCCCAGTCAAAGTCTCAAAAATAATTTTCCCAGAATTGATTCAGAATGCTGCTGTTGATGAGGTTGTGTTTTTATTGGCTTGGGTTTTTGTTGGATTTCTGTGGGGTTTTTTTGTTTGTTTGTTTTGTTTGTTTTTGGGGTTTTTTGTATGAGTCTTAATTAATTCTTAGGCTGTCTTTTTGTGAATTGGCCATCTAATTAAATGTTATTATTTTGGATATTTTTCTCTCTTTATAGCTGCTGGGCTTGTAGCTATTGGTTAAGAGAAACAAGCATCTTTACCTTGCCAGTATGATTTTAAATGCAATGCTGTATAAGAAATGGCTTAAAACCTTGTAATTACTTTCCATATGAGAGTTGTATCTGTTCTGATTTTATGGTTTGGGGTTTTTTTACATTCCTTTATCTTAATTTTCTTTGGTTTACTTGCTCATATTGTCTGGAACAAACTGATTTCAGCAGAAGGTTTTTGATATTTTCTCTTGGAAGGTTTTATATCTTATGGGGATATGTAAAATAAGATCTCTAATAAAAGGTAATGTTATTGTGAGATGTGGTCAGCGTCATTAATGCCTTGGCTTTAACAAATTTTAATTTATTTTTTTTTAAATGAGAGAAACAACAAACATAACTTCTTTGAAAGGGTTCATATATCAGTATCTGTTGGGAATGAGAGTTATCTCTAGTGAGATGAACTCCTGATCAAAGGTGCAATCTATTTCACAACTGCCAAACAGAAGAGGATAGGTGCTAATTTTAGAGATGTAAACATGTGAGATTACACTGTGTGTGAAGGAAATGGGCAGCTCTTTTGCAAAGGAAGTCATGCATTGACTTCATAGAAAATATTAGAAGGTTTAAAATTCTAGAATTTTTTTTTTTTTACTTGAATTAATGTTTCTCTTTGAAACATTTGGGAGAGATGAAATGGAAGCTGTTCTTGAAAATTAACAAACACACCATTAGAACATAGCAAGTCAAAATAATAGTTCAACTGTAATTAGACTGAACATTTTTTTAAAAATTATATAATGCTGATATAATGTTCTGTAATTGCACAGGGCATGTTAAACAGGCATAGATGTTTTACAGGTTTGCTTCCCAAAGTGGTGGTAGAGCTTGAACATAATGATTTGCAAAGAAAATAAAGCATAAATTTCAGTCAGTGCCTGGGGCTATTTGATATTTGTCTGGATAATCTTAACTTTATATATAAAAGCAAACATATACACACACAAAGTAAATACCCATAATTTTAAAGCTGATGTTTCAAGATAAAACCTGAAAATGTTTTAACAGGCAGCAATGGGTATGGGTCTAATTTAAAGTAACCCTTCATCATTTTAAGGTCATCCTGTTTTGGAATCAATTAATCTCAGCATGGCCATGTAGACAGAATATATTCCACTAATTCCAGTAACCAATAATGTATTCTTTTACTGTATGAAATTATACTAACTGTATTTGATGTATGTCTGTGCATTGTGTTTTAAAAAAACATGCAGGATCTATCTGTCTTTACTTATAGTGACACTGTTTCTCAGATTTAGTGGGTTATTTGACTCATGATGGATTATATATATATCTGTGATACAATAGAAAATACAGATTCGGTCATTGTCCCTTTTTATTTTAGGATAACTACTTTGTCATAATACAATGAATTTCAAAAATCAGCCAAAGGTATTAATTTTGTCTTCTAAAAGAGGAAACATATAAAAATAATACGTTGTCTAGAATAAGCTCAAGTCAATAGAGAATTATTGGGATTTTTCAGACAGTTCTATTACTGACAAAAAGTTTGTCTCAAATTTCTCTGTAAATTAAAATATTAAATTGTAGACCTGACAATCTTTCAATTTACATATTTTATGAACTAATAGATATTTAAAGTCTATATTGCATCATCTAATCTTTGTACACCAGAATTTCTGTGGAGCATTGGTAGTGTATGACTTCCATTACTCCCTTTAGGTAAATCATTTAATAGCACTAAGAGTGCTAGATATTTTTAAAAATATCCATCATTTATATGAAATTGTGCTGTTTGTACTGTAAAGGCAAGAACATTTTTGATTATACACTTCAGATCTTCAAGTTACAGGATGACCAAATGGTCCTGAAATGAAGAGTGTGTTATATCATGATATTGAGGAAGAGAAAAAGGGAGAATGGCACGGAAGCTCATTCAAGTGGATTTTCAGGTGTGTATTTCTGAGGAGCAGACCAATGATGTGAGGCAGTTCTGGCAAGCAAGGCGTGCACATCATTTGCATGATCACTGATGTAGACTTAAACCTCTAACCTACCTTCCAGAAGTCCTGGATATGTTCAGAATTAATAATTAACTGTCTTGCAATTTAAAATGTCTAACGAAGACAAAAATAGATCTTAGTAAGCCATGCTGTCTGAACCACTTGCAGTTGTGTAGAGACACACAGCTTTGCAAACACAAGATGACCTTTTTTCAAAAAACACTTTAATACCCATGGCAGTGAAAATATGTATTATCTGTGTTCTCTATTGTTTTGAATTATTTAAAATTGTATTTATTTTACAAGATAAATAAACAATACAAGCTTAATGGAAGCAATTCAGATTGACAATGATGGTGTCAAAAGATTGAATACAGCTGTTACAGACATTCTTAATGGAGCATGTTAGAGAAAAGTCCTTCAAGCATATAAAGAATTAGGATTTTGACAGTGAACAAATCAGTCTCATTGCTTTTTCTTGTATCTTAGTAAGTGAAATCTACTGACTTGGCTAGTAGACATGGGAAAGAATCTGTGAAAGCTCAAATGTGTCTTGAGTAAGGCA